CATCGTCGGAGCGAGACAAAAACTTCGTGTTTATTCAATTCAACTATTCTTTTTAATTCATTTAATATAATGCAGAAACACTTTATGATGTGCCGCAATTTAAAAAAAAAACAATTGTATCTTTCGCTTTTCTTGCATGCATATATTCATATCATATTACAATACAAGGAATAGGTTGATAATATGATGTATTAATCATAATGTAACTTTTCATGCTATCATGGCTGTTTATATGATATGATACAATGTATATATTATTATATATGCAATAAGGACTCAACCAATTTTGTTAATGAAAAAAGTTGTATTTGTATTACACGTACAAATTATCTACTTTAAATTTATATAGTTTGGATTAATGCTGGTCGAGTATTGATATTAATCCATTTATGAAATAATTACCACCTGTGAATCAATGATTGATTGATCGATTGTTGGTTGCTTAACGTCCAGTGGCAAATATTTCATGCATGTTCAGGACGAGAACAAGTTAACAATAAATACAAAAGGTAGGTCTTGTAATTGAGGCCATCCGGGATGATGGTCGGGGAAATTTGGACCGCCACTGGAAAATGGGGGTATATTGGATAGGGACAGAAATTTTGCCTTGCAACAGACCACCTACGGATCCCTCAAACAGCGTGGCACTCTCTTTACACGATCGGGTCGGATTTAAACTTTACTGTTTTAACATGTTACTATCTGCATGCCATAACAGCTTAACTTTGCCATTTCAAAACTGCCATTTCAAAACTAAGAAAAGATATGAATTTTAAGCTGTAACATGTCGATTTTGTTTTCACTCTCAACGGCTTAGATTCAAGACTGTATAACATTGAAAAGTAAAGTTTTTCAAAATACTTGACAAATCACAATACTAAATTACATCACTTCGCTCCTTTGATGAAACTGTTGCATATACATTTTTATCAACACTGAAATGTAATTACCTTTGGCGTTTTTCTGATGATATAAGTGCGAGAAATACTAGACGGTGCATCATTGAACTGAATTGACCTGCGTAGGCGTGAAGACAATAAAGCTGTCATTTCACTTATCAAGCATTTAACCACTTAACCAACTCACCATGCTTGCATGATGTTGAACACGCGCGTCTTATCGTTCAGTCCCTTTAACAAATACCGCTGCTATAAAAGAATAAAGCTACTTTCAGCTATCATTTTTTAATCATTAACTAAAAAAAATATATATTTATTTCTTCCTAATTATTTTTAAAAATGCACTTGGTCTTTGTTATAGATTGAATTTCTGTTATCAATAGGTTTTTGTCGGAAACTACTAAAGTTAAATTCAACATTTTGATTGCAACATGCGATACACGTAAATTAATAAACGTCTCTTAATATTATGTGGAATGTGATATGACTATTGTTTCTCCCCTATATCTATATATTTTTTCTTCAAATATTACATCAACCCGTTTGAGAGCATTGTAAATGGTATATTTTCTATCTGATTTTCTACGATGAATTTTTAATTATTTTGAGAACAAATGTTATTTTTCGGGTGGTAAACAAATTCTCTCGCACACGTAATATTCCGTATATCGTCAGGTTATCGGAATTCCCATGGCCGGGACTAAGTGTGCACCACTTATTGCGGACCTGTTTTTGTATTGTTATATGAGTTACAATTTATGACGAAAATAAGCAAAGACCCATCGAAACAACATCTGATTCAAAAATTTAATAACACTTTTAGATGTTTAGATGATATATTGGCTCTCAATAACGACGACTTCAGTATGCACACTAAAGAGATTTATCCTGCCGAACTGAATTTAAATAAGGATAATACTAACAATGAACACTACCCTTTCCTGGATCTTGATATCTATATCTTTAACTGGAAGCTTAATACCAAAATTTATGATAAAAGAGATGATTTTTCATTTCCTATTGTAATTATCCATTGTTAGATGATGACGTTCCTTTGCCACCATCTTATGGTGCTTGTATATCTCAACTTGTTCGATTCGCTCGTGTATGTAACAACGTACTTGATTTCAACGAAAGAAATCTCTGTATTACTGAAAAATTATTACACCAGGGTTTTTCGATATCACAAACTAGTCTACATTAGTGTAGAGTAGTATGCTGATCGGAGCTGGAACTGCTTGGGAGTTTGGAGCCTCTGGCCTTTGTTAGTCTTGTATATTTTTAATTTTAGTTCATTTATATGTTTTGGAGTTTAGTGTGACGTCCATTTTCACAGAACTAGTACACAATTGTATTAAGGGCCAGTTGAGGACCACCTCCGGGTGCGGGATTCGTTCTCGCTGCGTTGTTGAAGACCCATTGGTGGCCTTCGGCTGTTCTCTTGTCGAGTTGTTGTCTCTTTGAAATATTCCCAAATTTCCATTCTCAATTTTATCATAACATTAAAATAGTTATTCGTTTATTTATGATTAAATTGAGATTTAAAAAAAAATCTAGTTTAGCCCTTCATCATATTCCTGTGCCAGTCCTTACCTCGTCAGTTTTTGTCTTAATATGGTAATGATGACAGATATTTGATTGTTTAAATTATGTTTAATAACAACCTTCATATACTTAAGGTAATTTGCATGTGTAATTGTTGAAAAATCCTACATTGATAAAAGCTGACTGACGACCTATGTCGTGTATTGTTTTAAAGTATTATGTTGAAACACTATTAATCAAACACTGCTTATCATATTTTCCGAAACCAAACCATTATATTATACATTTATCTTTTTTAAATCATGAACAACAGAAGTTATTTTTTAAATCTCAGATAAGCAACTTCTCTTATATACAATAATGTTCCCTACAGTAGGTATATACTAAACCCTTTTCCATTAATATTTCCTTGCGACCCGTCAGATACTGACAATATCAAATCAGATTGTGAAATACGCTGCATGTAACCTTTTATTGCCAGATCATAACGAATTGAAGTGTTACCTTTTGTTAATTTTATTTGCTTTGTTTATTTTATAAATTTCCCTTTTTTAACTTGCCTGTGTCTGTCGAAACAATCTATGATTAAAGGGAGATAACACTTTCTACTCGTCTATATTACAGATATTCGTAATAAAGGTAAAATTACTTGTTTAAGTAATATTACCCATTCACATAATATTACACGAATAAATAATCGCCTGGACTGATATCCATCGTCACCTGTGAAACAGATATTCCAAAAAGTTTTTTTCAATTAGTGCGACTGAGGTATATCAGAGAATGCAATTTATAAAAATAAAATATTAATATTCGTATATGTTCAAATGATCATACACGCTAAAACAAATCGGAGAATTCTTATTTTATAGAAATGTGGCTTTGTCGCTTAGTCCGACCCCTCGTTTCCCTGTAACTTACGTGTGAGTTGATTAAAAGTGTCTAATTTGTTGACAATAAAGTACAAGTCATTTATTATATATATAATTGATTTGTGTCAAGCTTGCGACATTTATGTCGCGTCGGCGTCTTCATCATTTAGATCGCTAGGTTTCTCGTTTGAATTGTTTTACATTTGTCATTTCGGAACCTTTTATAGCTTACTATGCGGTATGGATTTTGCGTATTGTTGAAGACCATACAGTGACATATAGTTGTTAACTTCTAAGTCATTTGGTATGTGCTGGAGAGTTGCCTCATTCCATGGCAATCATACCACATCTTCTTATTTTTATATAAGTTTTTTGGCAGTAAATATTACCGAATTAAACTGTTTTGTCATGATAAATTTGTAAACCTCCATGACTTATTATAAAAAAATTGTATAGGAGTTAAATCTTCAAGATCAAGATAAAGCATCTACAAAAAAAACAAACTTTTTACAGGCAAATGGACTAGTTACAGTCAACATTACACTTTTAAACTGACAGCAGCAATCTCAAGCGAGACAGAGGGTTCCGTGGAATCCTTCACGAATTAATTACAATACTGCTTCCATTTGAGGACTAAGGAGAAAAGTTGGACACTTTCAGAGTTTTATTTTTGACGAGTTTTTGATTTGGCTAAGTTAGCTACATATATTTTGGAAAATACCCCGTGTTTAAAAATAACTTAATACCTCGTCATAGTTGAGATCCGTTACATATATTCCGGCTTTAGAAATAAACATAATTATAAAACGATTAATTAAAACGAATATGAAAATAAATAAAAAATACTCGAAACTGTAACATATTTGGAAAAGTTTTAATTTTTACAAATCACATAATGGATTGTAACTTTATTACACAACGACCAAATTCATAAAGTCTCGCAGCATGGAGGTTTACATCTACTGTGTCAAATAAAAGATACATGTATGTAACTTTTTAAAAGGTTTTACCATGAAAATCAATTTATAATAACCTTTGAAACCAGGAAGAGTTTGACCAAACAAATTGAAGTCAATAGGGCCAAATTTGTGTCCCTAGATGATGTAAGAAACCAATATAACTAACAATAATGAAATTATGTCCAGAATTTCAATATTTAAACAGTCTGAAGATCTCTGAAGTTTTAATATTCTAACAAAATCCTTTCAAAACAGTGTAATCCAAAATGTCTTGTGATTGATTGATTGCTGGTTGCTTAACGTCAAATACAAAATCAATTCTAAGAAATTTATAAGGAAAACAATATCTAATTAAAAATATTTTTAAGAGTGATTTTAGTTGAAACGTGTTCCGGTGATTTTAACACGTGTCGTCGGTTTAATATCCGTCAACATACAGGCAATTAGAATATGCTTGTCTAGGTTACATCTGATCTTAAAATACAGTATTTACACGATTATCAAGGTAGTTAAATATTGACCTTGAGCGAGAGAGAAAAACAGACGAAGTTTGTTTTCGAGAGCTTTTTCTAAAAAATATAGATTTAGCAATGCTGGATGAATTAAAAAACAAACAAACAAAGAAAGATGTCACGATAAAGTTTTAATTTTTCCAACGATCATCATGTTACAACCACACACGCAGTAAACCAAAAGTGTAACAGCAATATGAAAACAGAAGATGTTCTGACATTCTTACTGCTGACAGTTCAAACAATATGTCTGTCAACAGGAGTAAAGATATCAAACCTCATATTGATTTCAATGGATGGTATGCGATATAACTTCCTTGACAACCTAAACAAGGAGAGTATTTCAAATTTTGACTTTTTTAGAACAGGAGGTGTAAATGCAAAATATATTCGAAATGTTTTTCCCAGTGTTACATATCCAAATCATATGACAATTGTTACTGGTCTGTATCCAGAGAGCCATGGTATAGTTGGTAACAGTTTCTGGGATCCATATTTGCAAGATACATTCTATGATATAAATTACCGACAAAATTTTGAGTCGAAATGGTTTGATGTCGGATCAGAACCTATATGGGTGACAAATTACAAAGCAGGACAATCAAGAGATAGTGGTGTTATTTTGTGGCCTGGTGGTATTGCTGAAATGAAGTCATATATGCCACGTGTAATTCCAGGTGGTTATATTTATAACCTTACATACAACTGGAACAAGAGAGTTGATCATTTGATTGAATGGTTTACAAAAAATGAATCAAATATTCGTCCGATTAATTTAGGATTGTTGTACTTTCCTGAACCAGATGAAGTTGCACATACACATGGACCAGACAGTCAAGAAGTGAAAGATATTATTTATAAACTTGACAAAACTTTAGGCTATCTGAAGAAAAGGCTGATGGATGAAAATTTATTTAATGACATGAATATCATAATAACTTCTGATCATGGTCTTACAGATATCAGTAAAAGTCAACTTATCGAAATAGATCAGTATGTTGATAAGACACTTTATATTGCTCGAGTTGGTTTAGATACTCTAGTAACTTGCTTGGATCCTGCAAAAGGTATATTTTGTTTTGAGATACAAATATACATTTTGTACATGTACCTACATACACATACCATGATATAAAAGGTTCCATGACAATTCAATTCTAAATATTAGTTGCCTGCTTAGCAGAATTAATATAGAGATCCCAGCCTCTGGTGTCATTAATGATTTTTAATTTTAAAAAACTTTTTTCTAATGCATGTAATGTATTTCATGTATACAGCTTCTATAAATCATGATAAACATAATAAATTTAAGGAACAGAACTCAACTAAAATTACAATTACATGAGGTCAAGGTCAGATGACATTGGCTAGAAAAGACATGTACACCTTACAATCATTCCATACACCAAATATAGTTGACCTATTGCTTACAGTACTTGAAAAACAGACCAAAACACAAAAAATTGACAATGACCAATAAACTATTGTACAAACCAAATTAGAAAAATACCCAGTAAATACACTATATATGAATATAACAATAAGATATATACATTGCATGTAATACAAACTACAACAAAATAAAAAAATGTACATGTATATACATGTATACAATATGGAAAGCCATCAAACTAAATTTAGAATAAATACTATTAAATATGATGAAAATATTTCATAAACTTTTATTTTCATTGAAAAATGTCTAGCATTCATTTTGATTCATAAACAAATAGTTATGATTGATTGATTGTCGGCAGGAAAACTGACAATCCTAGATTTAGATTGGAGTCAAGCACACCTGCTACGTGTTGGGTTTGAACTCACAACCTCAGTGTTGACAGGCTAGTGATGCAGTAGTTGGACTACTTAGACCACTCAGCCACCAAGGCGCCCCAAATACAATGTAGTTATGATATTTCTTCTTGAATAAATCCAAAGTTGAAATAGAAAATAAAGCTGAGAATAAAAGGTTCCAGAAAACTTTGCCGAAATAGTAAAATGTTTTTATAACATGTATAAAGTTAAATTTTTGTAGAGGCACGTCCTATGGTATACCTATGTCTGTCCATCCGTCCATCAACACTTTGTACAATAACTTAAATTTTATATACACGTAACCAATTCTCAAGTAATTTTAACACATCATCTGCATTGACAGAAGAAAGCTGCTTTTTGATTTTGAAATTGTTGGCTGTATCCTAAAGTTTATTGGACTTTAATCCATTTGAATTAAGGCAATTTTCATATATTCCTCAAGAACTTTATATTTTTAATTAGTATAAAATTGAGAATGGAAATGGGGAATGTGTCAAAGAGACAACAACCCGACCACAGAACAGACAACAGCAGAAGGCCACCAACAGGTCTTCAATGCAGCGAGAAATTCCCGCACCCGGAGGCGTCCTTCAGCTGGCCCCTAAACAAATATATATACTAGTTCAGTGATAATGAACGCCATACTCAACTCCAAATTGTACACAAGAAACTAAAATTAAAAATAATACAAGACTGCCTGGATAAACTTCCTATAAACTTTACACTATTGATAAAAGGAAGCTCCCTTTCTTTTCTTTTTTTCTTTTCAGAGTTACAGGACTTTAATTGTCAGATTTAAGTGAATTTTTCATATGTTGTACATGTATCATAACTTGAGTTTGCTTGGATTGATTTACTGGCATGACTGGAAACTAGCAAGAGTGATTTTTGGTTGACACAAATGTTTGATAGTCACAATGTAAGTTGTTTAGACTCGGGGCAATTTGGAGCCTGACAAACTTTATAGAACTATAAAAACTTTGCTTTTTTTTTTTACCTCTAGATGTCTTTTGATTTATTTTTTAACAATTCATTAATCAATTCATTCTGTTTTTTAAGCAAGTACACGGGAAGAACTGTACTCAAAACTGAAAAAAATTCCCAACATTACTTTATACAGAAAAGGGGATGAACACTCTACGGCACTGCACTATAGTGAAAACAGAAGAATAGCAGAGTTTGTGCTGGAAGCAAAGAAAGGATATGTACTGAAAAAAACTTCACTAAGTAAGTAATACTGGTAGATATAGGAAATGCTTGTGCTACTTGTAGTTTCATTTTCAACATTTTTTACAGTAGCAAGTTTTTTTTATAAAAACTAGAATACATGTGTAATTCAAACCAAATAAAAAAATAAGAAAGTCTGATACAACCGTAATCTTTCTTTCCTTTGCCTATTTCATTTTGGGCAGCCGCTCCATAATTTTTGTATTTCAGCTTTGAGGCGTGAGGAGAACTTATCAGGCAGCGCAGCACAATGTCTGAGGAGAAGTTATCAGGTACATCACAATGTGTGAGGAGACCTAATCAATCATGTTGTTGTCATAAGTAGTACTTTCCAAGGTAGAGGAAAAAGATGAGAAATAACACAAGAAACAGATTATTACGTTTTTTTGAATATAGATGTTGTAAAATATCAGCCTCTTGACACAATGTAAAGCTTTTAAGCTCTGTCTCTGCACTCACTCCCAAACAAGGGTCACATTGTTGCTGTAGAGAGCTTTATAATGATATCATTGGGTTTTTTTACTCATTAATATCATTATATATCACTGTCAGAGCTACTTTTTTACTCTGTCTCTGCACTCACTCGCCAAAAAGGGAGAGTGATATATAATGATATCAATAGGTCGAAAACCCAATAATCTATACTTATGTTGCCCTTGAAAATATTAAGATTCTTCTTTCTTTTCAGATGTATGTTAATTTTAATATTGATAATGGAATAGGATTATACAGTATGGTATCTTTATAGATGAAATTTCTTTAATCATGACGGCAGAGTATAATTTTTGGCTTCTGCTGTGTTTTCTCACATCTAAATATATGTATTTCAAAGCTAATACTAACAATGACCACTGTCCTTTCCTCGATCTTGATATCTATATCACTAACGGGAAGCTTAATACAAAAATTTATGATAAAAGAGATGATTTTTCATTTCCTATCGTTAATTATCCATTTTTAGATGGTGACGTTCCCTTGTCACCATCTTATGGTGTTTATATATCTCAACTTGTACGATTCGCTCGTGTATGTAACGTTACGTATTAGATTTTAGCGAGAGAAATTTATGTATTACTGAAAAATTATTACACCAGGGTTTTCGATATCATAAACTAGTCAAAACATTTACTAAGTTTTATCATTGGTATAAGGACATCATTCGTAAATATAACTCAACATGCAGACATCTTATACGTTCGGGTATTTCACATCCAATCTTTTATGGTGATATTCTTTACAAAGCACAAAAATGTCAGTATTCACCTCAAAAGCTAACAAAACCTTTAAACAGACTTATTAAGAAGGGATATAGTTACGATACTGTTGTCAGGTCATTAAAGATTGCATATTTTGGCTTTAATATTGATTCACTTATAGGGTCTTTGCATCGGAATTAACACATTTATTCTAAAACCAGTTGTTGGCATGACACAGGTTATGTTCTCATATATTTTATGACAGTATAATACTAAACCCCTAACAGGAGGGATTGTGCCTGATATTCATATGATGAAGACATAATCTTTCAATCAGTTTAATTATTAATGTGAAAATTTCTTTCCAACTCCTGCAGGCAAAATTGACCTTAGGTAGAATTGGCTATTCTTTTTAGGTTCCTTTTTGTTAAATAGATCCTCAAATTTTAAGTATTTATACATCCCTAGCTTTCAAATTTTGGGATTTGAGCAATCCCTATGAAGGTAAATCCAGAAAATCTACTAAGTTTCAGGCATGTTGTAGACACCAAATTATAAGTGTTATTTTCACCATCCTAAAATAAAGTTATTTTCAAATGCAAGAAGCAAATGTTAAGACCTCTTAAAGCGGTGAGATAAAGATATAGATATTTAAGGGTGAAGAAGATATAATATATGTTCACATTCATGAATAAAAAATTGCTAGATTGAATTTTACTTATGAAGATACATTTTTTGTTGTAGATGGACATCACGGGTTTGATCCAGAGAAAGTTCCTGATATGCATCCATTTTTTATTGCCTTTGGTCCAGCTTTCAAGAAAGGATTGCAGAATGCTGATCCATTCAACTCTGTCGACATCTACCCGTTGATGTGTCATATACTTGGGATTGACCCAGCACCTAATAACGGAACACTTAAAAATGTGCTGCATATTTTAGCACATCCTCCATCGCAGCATACATCTACATTTCAATTCACTGGCATCACATGTAAGTAAAATGTTTTTACTGTCGTCCATTTTTTTTAAATGAAGTTATTTAACTGTGTCGAGATGTGACAGTGGTTTTGGATATACATTTGTAGTGGCAGTTGTCATATATTTTGGGTTTTTTTGTGCCTTAAATAATGTTAGATGAACGAAAAAATTATGGAAGTACACTAGAATGAAAATGATTACCAAATCAATCTCTTCTCAACCCTTATAATTATTGGAATAATTTGAATAAAGTAATTTTATCAAGAAATGAGTATCTTTTTTTTAAGAATAAACAACATGTTCTAGTCTGTAATTAGGGCCCGCTGAATGGGGGACACCCTATAGTGATCAGTCTGTCCGTCCGTCTGTCCATTACAAATTGAGTCCACTCTATATCTAGAGAACCGTTATGATTTCAAAGTTTATACTTGACATGTATATTAACCAACTCCAGAGGGTGTGTCATAATGTATGTACAACTTCCTATGTCAAAGGTCAAGGTCAAAAACTTGGATTTTAGTTGACAACCCCATGTCCTATGGTAAAGATCGTGTCTGCTCTATATCTTGAGAACCGTTATGATTTCAAAATTTATACTTGACATGTATATAAACCAACACCAGAAGGTGTGTTAAAATTTATGTACAACTTCCTAGGTCAAAGGTCAAGGTCAAAAACTTTGGTTTCAGTTGACAACCCCATGTCCAATGATAAAGATACAAATTTTTTACCACACATTATTCACAGCGGGGCCCACAGAGATGGCTCCCATCTCAATGATACATGTATCTAGTTTCTTCAACCTCATGGTTCATTTCCTATCTAGAAAAAAATTAAAAATTTATTGGATCTTACATTCTTTTTACGAAAATTCCTGTCTAATTTGCATATATAGCATATATAATCTTACATCTTATAATTTGATAAAATTTACCTTAGATATAAAGAAAAGGGTTTGATGTTTTGAAAAAAAGACTACTATAGTCTTCATTAGCCTATTTCAAATTTTGTGGAGTCTAATGTAACAGGATTGATTTTTAGTTTTTAGATTAAAGATTTCTACTTACTGCCATGAATTGTCTTGGATGATTTTGTATTTTGTCCCAATATCAGGTGTCAAAACGTTGTTGATTTTACACACTAACCAGCCATCCATTGTTAATCATTATGCCGAAATGGAAGTACAGTGTTGACACCCAGGCCTAAAATTTTACATTCTCAAAATTCAGCCAATCCTTTTTGGTTAAACACACCAAAATAATCCTACATGTATAGCAAGATATCTTGATTTTCAATACTGCATTTAAAGAAATTAAATGGTGACTGAGTAACTGCCTGAATGACAATATTGTAAATTAGAAAATTATTGCATGCATTTATTATTGCAATTTTTTTAAGAATGGACAAAAATGTGAGATTAATTATTGCAATTTCAGGACAATTTGCATACAGATATGGTGTATGTATCAGATATCAGAATGCAAGTTCTTATTATTGCGATATACTCACCTAGTTTCATTTTTCGCAATAATAAAAACCTTGCATTATTTTCTTTCATATAGAATTATATATAAAACAACACTGTACAAGCAAACTTTAGTTGATCCAAACTGTATTTTTTCGTTAAGTGACACAAATATATCCAATGTTTGAAATAAGAAAGTAGAAACAATTTATTTTCAAATAAGAAACTCACATGGCTAAAATTAGACAACCTTATATATATATCTATGTTACCACAGGATAATCTAACAATAGTCTTTGGAACTATTTCTCAAAGAACCGCCTTGGTGGTCTCGTGGTAGCGTATTTGCCTCGAGTGCAGGATGTCATGGGTTCAAACCCCGGCCTGGTCAAACCAAATACTTTAAAATTGGTATTTGCTGCTTCTCCTCTAAGCACGCAGCATTAAGGAGTAAGAGCAAAGACTGGTCGGCTTGGAGTCAGAATAATGTGTCTTGGTAAGGTGACATGTCTTCCTGCGGACTACTACTTTGTGAACTAGCGCGTTAAAAATCCGGCTCAGCATGTTGGTCTAGTACAAAGCAGGGTTAATACTCATATAACATTAACATGTTTTCGTCCTGAATATGCATATTAATTTGCCGCTGGACTTTAAGCAGCCATTCATTATTACCATCATTATCTTTAAATAATGGTCTAAAGAAGGAAAGAAGAACAGATAAGTAACCCTTGACAAGCAAAGATGAAGAAGATACAAATTCTTTGGAAATGTTAAATTTCATTCAATGGCAATTTTGTTAAAATAACAGTCTTTCTTTATACTGTGGATTCATTTATTTTCGTGGGTACCAATTTTCGTGGATTAAGGAAAACTTACATGTTCGTGGATATTTACTTCGTGGTTTTGCCATATTGTGTATACACGCCTATAGGAAATTTGTAATTCGTTGAATATTTAATTTCGTGGTTCATCTGTACCCACGAAATCCATGAAAATTGGTATCCAACGAATAATAATGAATCCACAGTAAATAAATTTAATACTGAGATATTTATCTTTTGGGTATTTTTTTTTTTCAGTTTTAGTGATAGTAATATTTGTTGCCTTTGTTGGAGGAGTGTATGCAATAGGAGCATGTAGACAAGGAAGAATAAAACAATATGTAAAAGTGAACAGAAAAATCATCAACCATTCTGAGTTTGGACAATCATCCTTGCTATATGGTAGCAACGGCGAAGAGGAAGATGATGATTTTTAAAAAGAGGCAATACACATAAAACATTGATAATGTTTGCCTTATTATTATTCAGCAGTGAAAAAATTGTGATTTTATTCATTTCTTTTGAGAGTTACCTCAATTTTGGGGCACAACTATTAGACTCAATCAATTCAAACACTTGCAAAGCAAACTGATTGTGTATTATGTAGTTTTTCAACACATATTGAAGAGTTTTGCATGACTGTAGCAATGTTATAGGTATAATGACCATGCTGTACAAGGTGCGTCTCTCTTATTAAATTTAGATTTTATACATTTATAATATATATTTTTTTAAAGTTTAGGGATGCCAAGGGAAAATCATTCTTGTAACATTCCAGAAATATAAATGAGGGTTTTGATGATTTTTGCCCCTTTATTGATAGATTTCTTGAATTTAATGTCCAGTGGCAAATATTGTACACATATTCAGGAAAAGAATCCATTGATAATCAATAGGTTCTGCAAAGTGGGTACAATGTGATGAAGGTCAGAAATTTTTACTGCCACTGGGAAATGAGGGGAAATTTGATAGAAGAAGTTTTGCCTTGCAACAGGTCACCACATCCCCCACAAAGGATTTTTACAAGGGTTCTTTAACTTGCAGTTCATGTGGCACTTTTTGAGGCATCATATTTAACGTTCTGATTGGCATAGGACATGGCTGATTATTTATACATCCCACACATCCAAACAGATGCCCCTGTTTAGCATGGTTTTAATGCCAAGTGGGAGAAGTCATTGGGTTTCCATATTTATAAACCCTAGTCAATCCTTTTTCTTATTTTTGAAATCCTGTCGGTTTTATATTTCATTTGTTAAAAGTAGCCTTTACTGTTTCTGACCTTTAAAGTGCCACATTTTTACCTGGGACATTGACTTATTTATTTTCTTTCAATCAAGTTTTTTTTCCCAATCCAAGATCTTTTGAAATTATGCCATTGCATTTTGCCTAGCTTTTCCTTATAAAGCCATTATATGCTGACTATGTGTAATACCATAAAATTTGAATGCCTTGTTTTTTTTCATTGAGTTCCTTACAAAAAAAGGGGGTAACAGGTCTTGTTCTCTTGAAATATAAAAAAAAACACAAATTTTCCTATCAAGTTCAATATAGTTATCTGCCCTTGATTTTAAAAGAATTTCAATGAAAATTTTAAATACACTTAATTTTTGATAGTTTAATCTTTAAATTTCAAGTTTTAGATGTTTCCATTGTATATTGAATGATACTTGGTAAGATATTTTTAAACCATAACAGTATTTTTGCAACATGCCCAGAAAGGATGCTTAGAAAAAGACACCCAATCTACCTTAAGCTATATTCAGTGTGAAAGTTCTTTTATTAAAGGATTCCAATTTTCGTGGTTTTTTTTTTTTTTTGTAAAGTCATGCACTGATGGTTTTTTTAATTTGTAGTTTCATACTTTGCACATAAAAAATCAAAGTGATACATTTATTTAGTTGAATTTTTAAAGTTGTGGATTTGTTCAACCATGACATCCATGAAAATTGGTTCATGTACTCTACTTATATAAGTACTTTCACAGTAATATACTTTTTGTACAACTGAATTTTAGTAAAGGCAAATTTGAATTGTATAGTCAATTATAATGTCATATTTTCTTCATATTAGTGATTTCTTTATGCCGCATCAGCACAAAAAAATTGTATAGCGGTGATCTTCATATAAGTATGTAGTACATGTAATGTACATTATTTTAATAAAAACAAAACATCTGTCTTAGGTTACTACATGTGCTTGACTAAAATATCTTTTGTTACTTTAGCAAAGTCATGTGTCCGTATTTTGAAGACATCATTTAAGCATAATGATAATATACTTATAGTTTAGTATATTTTTATCCCCCCATCCACAGTGGAGGGGGCATTAAGTGTTACCCTTGTCTGTTTGTACGTACATACTTCCCAAAATTAGTTTTCATTCTCTAAGTTTAGTTTGCCTCAACCAAATGTTATGAAACTTATACACAATGCTTATTACAATAACACACAAATCAAGTGTGAATTTGGGTGGCGTCACTTTTACAGTTCTCTAGTTATGTTCCTTTAAAAATAAGGAGATGTGGTATGATTGCCAATGAGACAACTATCCATCAAAGTTAAATGAAGTCGATATAAGCAATTATAGGCAACCGTACGGCCTTAAACAATGAGAAAAACCTATACCATATAGTCGGCTATAAAAGGCCCCAACATGGAAAATATGAAACAATTCAATTGAGAAAACTAACGGCCTACTGAACTACAGGCTCCTGACTTGGGACAGGCACAAAAAGGAATGTGGCTGGGTTAAACATGTTTGTGAGTGCTCAACCCTCCCCTAACCTTGAACAGTAGTGTTACAGCACAACATAAGAACAAACTATAAAAATCATTTGAAAAGGACTTAACTCATCAGATCAATACAAAGCAGAAAAAACATTGAACAAAAACACAGATTGGATGTGGCAGGGTATTTATATATCCCTAACAACAACAAAAATACCAAGTACAGATCTGAGAGTAATTGCAGTTTCTTACAGCTAGTTCAAAGTCAATAACAACCAACTAATAAAAAAAAATCATGATTCTAAGACTAAAATATTAATCAATACACATTCAACTTCAAATGGATTTAGTATAAAGATGTCATTAACAGTCAGAGAAAACATGACCTTGTACAATGTAAGGATAAAAGTATCAACAGATTGTAGTACCTTGATAGTGCATATAGTTTGTTCTTATGTCATTCTGTTACACCACTGTCATGGGTTAGGGGAAATGGTTTTGCGCCAGCAAACATGTTTAACCCGCCACATTCTGTGTGTGACTGTCCCAAGTCGGGACCCTTTAATTCAGTGATTGTGGTTTGTTGCTGTATATCATATTTTTTTTTCGTTTATTGATTTGTACGTAAATCAAGCCATTAGTTTTTTATTTGTCATTTCAGGTCTTTTATAGTTTACTATGCAGTATGGGTTTTGCTCATTGTTGAAGACAGTACTGTGATCTATAGTTATTAACTTTAATGTCATTTTGTTTCATTGACAATCATACCATATCTTCTTATTTTTATATTTTGAGGTAGTAAACCAAATAGAATATGTCAGTTTCATTAATAAGGTAGGTTAGTAAGTAGAATAGTCAGAGGCCATTTTAGGGGGAGGGGGCCCTACCCCTCCGTATGGAGCTATATATATAAATGTTGGGTACCAGGGGCCTTCTTTTTCAAAATCCTGGATCTGCTCATGATAGTTGTATTTTTCAAAAATATTTAATATATACTTGAAACAAATGAAAAGTTAGAAGACGCTTAGATTAATGTAGATAGATTTGTTTGAAACAGATATATTTTGTCTTGGCTTATTGTTTTTATGCCCCCGCCACAGCGGTGGGGGCATTAAGTTATACCCTTGTCCGTCTGTATGTACCAAAATTGGTTTCCGTTCTCTAACTTTAGTTTGCCTCAACCAAATCTTATGAAACTTATACACAATGCTTATTAACACAGATCAACTTTGAATTTTGGTGGCGTCCCTTTTACCATTCTAGAGTTATGCCCCTTTACAAATGGAAAAATTACTGAATTTTTCGTTTCCGTTCTCTAATTTTAGTTTGCCTCAACCAAATGTTATGAAACTTATAAACAATGCTTATTACCACAAAACACAGATCAAGTTTGAATTTTGGTGGCGTCACTTTAACCATTCTAGAGTTATGCCCCTTTAGAAATGGAAAAATTGCAAAATTTTTATTTTCTTCTAAATATCAAGTAATTTTTAAAATTGGAGTTATCTTCCTATGATTATAGTTGAATCAACTACAATCAATGCTTTATACAATGCAATGTTTAATTTTGACTTCCACTGATAAAACACAGATCAAGTTGAATTTGGGTAGTGTCACTTTAATCATTATTGAGTTATGCCCCTTTATAAATCGAAAAATTGCAAAATTTTTAGTTTCCATTCTGTATCTTAAGTTTGCCCCAACCAAACATTATGAAACCTATACACAATGTTCATTACCACAAAACTAAAGTACAAATTTTTTGTTTCCGTTTTCTAACTTTAGTTTGCCTCAACCAAATGTTATGAAACTTATACACAATGCTTATTACTACATAATACATGTACAGATTAAGTACGAAATTTGGTGGCAACGCTTTTACCATTCTTGAGTTATGTCCCTTTATAAACATAAAAATTGCTGAATTTTTCGTTTCCGTTCTAACTCTAAACTCTAGTTTCTCTCAACCAAATGTTATAAAACTTGTACACAACCGTTCTTGTGTTATGCGTGTTTACAAATAGCAAAAATTGCTGAATTTTTAGTTTCTGTTCTCTACTTAAGTTAGCCTCAACCAAATGTTATGAGACTTCCACACAATGCTTATTACCACAAAACTCAGATCAAGTTCAAATTTGGGTAGCGTCACTTTTACCGTTCTTCAGTTATGTCCCTTTATAACTATATGATATGCAAGCGGGGGCATCATCTGTGTCCACATGTGGACACTATCCACATTTTTTTTTCTAATTTTTTTATTGTATGATACATGTTATATTTTACAAACACCAGTGTTCAGGTGTGGATACAGCCATTTTTAAAAGGGGGGTTTCAACACATGCAAGTAATATAAACAGGGGTGTTCCTACCCCCTAGATCCCCCACTGGTGTTATTTTGTGATGCATTACTGATGAGGCATTGTAAATATCAACTATCTAGATTGTCCTGGGAGATTTATCTAGTAAATAAATTGTACATATATGATTTCCAAATACCTTCAAAGAAAGTATTTTAGTGAGCAGTTTGGAATTGTTTAAGGAAAAATCAATGTAAGATCTCTTCTTTATCTAATACACTTTTATTAAACAGATGAATAAAAAGATTAATTGTTTATTTAGTAAAAAAAAAACAATCATTACAGATTATGGAAAAATTAAAACAATGTATCTTTTAAGTATTTGGATCTTCAAATATCAAGGTTTTTGCATAGTAATTAATTAAATTATCAATTTCTTGAGAATTAGCAGTTTTAGATTTTTATACTCTTATAAGTTCAGTGAACTACACAATAATGATAGGTTAGAGAAATCAAAGCCATGTGATATGTCATAGAAGAACTCCCTGTACTCTATAAGTGCTTCACACATTGTCATGAAAAATAAAAAGTAAGCTCTATTAGATTTTACTGTTGTTCAAAAGTATATATCTGTCAAGTAGGGTCTTCTTACTAATGCTGTTTGCTTCTTGTATAAATTTGATGAAAGGGAGAAAAAGTTATATGCTCAAAACAAAATTCTGAAAGGTAGAGTACATATTTTATATATTATATTGTTTATGTTTATCTTGATTATTTGGATTTTGATGTTTATTGTTATATAAAACACACGAAGTTCCTTTTTAGCTCACCTGGCCCGAAGGGCCAAGTGAGCTTTTCTCATCACTTTGCGATCGTCGTCATCGTCGTCCGGCGTCGTCTGTTAACTTTTACAAAAATCTTCTCCTCTGAAACTACTCGGCCAAATTTAACCAAACTTGGCCACAATCATCATTGGGGTATCTAGTTTTTAAAAAGTTTGTCCGGTGACCCGGCCAACCAACCAAGATGGCCGCCATGGCTAAAAATAGAACATAGGGGTAAAATGTAGATTTTGGCTTATATCTCTGAAACCAAAGCATTTAGAGCAAATCTGACGAGATAAAATTGTTCATGAGGTTAAGATCTATCTGCCCTGAAATTTTCAGATGAATCGGACAACCTGTTGTTGGGTTGCTGTCCCTGAATTGGTAATTTTAAGGAAATTTTGCTGTTTTTGGTTATTATCTTGAAAATTGTTATAGATAGAGATAAACTGTAAACAGCAATAATGTTCAGCAAAGTAAGATCTACAATTAAGTCAACTTGACCAAAATGGTCAGTTGACCCCTTAAGGAGTTATTGCCCTTTATAGTCAATTTTTAACCATTTTTCGTAAATTTTTGTAATCTTTTACAAAAATCTTCTCCTCTGAAACTACGAAGACAAATTTAACCAAACTTGTCCACAATCATTATTGGGGTATCTAGTTTAAAAATTGTGTCTGATGACCCCGCCCGCGAACCAAGATGGCCGACATGGCTAAAAAATAGTACATAGGGTAAAATGCAGTTTTTGGCTCATATCTCTGAAACCAAAGCATTTACAGCAAATCTGACGAGGATAAAATAGTTCATTAGGTCAAAATCTATCTGCCCTGAAATTTTCAGACCATTTGCTGCCCCTGAATTGGTCATTTTAAGAAAATTTTGCAGCTTTTAGTTATTATCTTGAATATTATTATAGATAGAGATAAACTGTAAACGGCAATAATGTACAGCAAAGTAAGATCTACAAATAGGTCAACATGATCAAAATTGTCAAATGTCCCCTTAAGGAGTTATTGCCCTTTATAGTCAATTTTTTACAATTTTCATAAATTTTGTAAATTTTTGAAAATTTTTACATAATATTTTCCACTGTTACTACTGGGCCAAGTTCATTATAGATAGAGATAATAGTAAGGAGCAAGAATGTCCAGTAAAGTAAGATCTACAAACACATCACCATCACCGAAACACAATTTTGTCATGAATCCATCTGTGTCCTTTGTTTGATATGCACATAGACCAAGGTGAGAGACACAGGCTCTTTAGAGCCTCTAGTTATATTTTGAGAGAAATATTAATTTTTATTATATTTGAATGGTTATTTTTAATAATTAAAACAAGTTATATTTAAAAATATGTTTACTCTGTCATTTTATTACCCAAAAAACGGATCGTTATTATTACATTATACTCTGTGCAAAGAGAAATGCAACACAAATATTTAAAATTTCAAACCATCAAATCTTCTATGGTCAGCTCAGTCATTCAATATAAATGTTTGAGGATTTCTAAAAGAAAATGGCAAAAATACAAACAACAGTCCATCAAAAAGATCTGATCTCACTTATTTTGGGAACTCAGATGCACCATACTTTTAGAGCTATTTTCCTAATGTTTGTATTTAAAGGTTTGGTTGGCTTGCTTGCTTTCCATTATACTCTGCATTATACTTAACATCCAATAACATTTAAGTGTAATGTATACAAGCTGAAGCCCCACCTATCTATTGATTGCAGATGTCAATCTTAATTACAATGCTTGAGCAAACATTTATACAAACAAAGCAAGCAAGCCAACCAAACCTTTAAACTACAAACATTAGAAAAATAGCTCTAAAAGGTTCTACTGCAGATGTTTCACTTCTATTATTATTATTTTCTAGTAGTAATATTTCAAATGTTAGAAAAACTCTTAAAAATACCAGGCTGATAAAAGGAAAAATTGAAGGCTCTTGCTAAAACTATATTTTATTCAAGAATGCTAAATTGGACAAAGGGCCAAGTCTCTGTTACATGAATGAAATTAGATGTGAGGCATAATGTAAAATGTCTCACAATTTACCTATCTAATAATGCACATGGTTGCTTAAAGCAAACTAATGAGTACTTGCTTGATTATAGTAAAGTATGCCCTTTTACACTCTTATATCAGTGACTGTATTTTAAATATGAAAATAAGGAGATGTGATATGATTGCAGATGAAACAACTATCCACCAAAGTTCAATTGAAGTGGGTGTAAGCAATTATAGGCAACCATGCAGCCTTCAACAATGAGAAAAACCCATACCTTATATTCAGCTATACAAATAGGTTTAAGGATGTACTTAGGTGAAATTAAAAAAAACTAAAATTGATACTACAAGTCGGAAGAGCATTAGTTAGGAACAAAATAAGCTAAAAATATTGATAGGTTATGGAGCTCCTTTTCGAGGTATTTAATTTTTCAAAAATGGAAGGAAAAGGCTGACTCGGACTTTTACCATATATTTGCAATGGTATTATTTGGGTCTCAAATCGAAAGAAAAGAAATCTAGAATCTGCTTAAATTTTGGTAAATGACCTTTTATGAGCTATTGAAGTCTTATATGAAGAAGAATTGGTGTTATGGCGCAAAATATTTTACCCTGTATCGTAGGGAAAAAAAACCAAGGACATTTGACACAAATTCCTAAACCTGACTTCAGTACATCCTTAAACTTCTTTGACATATATAGTGCAGAGAAACAAGGTTCAGCGCAATATCGATAATAAATTTGAGTACAGTACAGAAAATAACAAAACAATATTTAATCATGTTTCAAACTGAAAAATTAGTGAATCAATATATATTCCACAAAATACAAGATGCAATGACCTCACAACCACATTGCTATCATAACCTTAATCATTGTCTTTTTAAGGCAAAAGAAAAGATGCTTATACTAGTTTGTATAAATAATATTGCTATATGAAGAATACTATATAATATTACTTTTAAGTTCTTCTTACATACATTTTCCTTCGGTGGTCTTTAACATCTGCTGTTGCCTTGATTTATTTCTTGTTTGTAGACCTCGATGTCGGACAGTTCGCCAGCAGAGGTATCGACCCATTTGTAATAATTACATCCCCCCGGTATAAATTTCACTGCCGCGTGACCAATTGTGCATTTCGACAATTACTGTCTATTAAGTGATGATCGAGGCCAAAGTATTTGAAAGTCCAATACTTTTTACAAATTTTAAAGAGCTGATAAAACCAAAATAAGACCAAAAGTAAAGTATTAAGGAATATTTATTAAAAAAGCAAATCTAAACCCTAAGCGTTGGGTTGATTGTATACATTACCTGTGCGAGTAATGATACAAAACAATGAACTACTTTTACAAGTACTAGTCACAGTTATCAATATAAAAATAAGGAGATGTGGTATGGCAATGATTGCCGATGAGACAACTATCGGCAAAGTTGAATGACGTGGATATAAGAAATTACTGGTCACCATATGGACGTCAACAATGAGAAAACTCATCTAACGAACTAATTTATAACAATCCGATTTACGAAAAACAAATATGACACATGAACCAACGACAATCACTGAAATACAGACTACCTTCTTCTGTCCCTCTTCCTCCATTTTCCGAAGGGCTTTGTATTTTTAGTAAAAGGGCCAGCACACTGCATAAGTTTAGGAATATATAATAGTTTTGAAATAATTTCATAATATTTACAGTACTTTAAGATCAATCATTGATAGAGAGCTTGAGGATATTAAGCTCTAGTTTAATTTTGTTTTACTTTTGCAATGGTAAAACCCCTTTCAATTCAGCTGCTACACAGAGAGGAATATATTTCTCCTCATACTTTTCTTCCACGACCGATGACCTCTTGGACTTACACAAATTAACATTTTGTTTTGCAGCTGTATAGTCCCATGCGATTTCAACAGCTTTGCAAAACCAATGTTCAGCCCTGTACCAGTTTTCACTAAGCATCTCACTGTATCCAAGAAGACTGAATGATCTGCTGTTTTTAATCTCTGTACAGAACTTAATGAATGCAGCTTTGACACCTTTTATCTTTTGATCTGGTTCCCGTATCTTTACTAAGCATTTGATAGTATGATAATAAGCAAATGCCCTTGAGGGAGCTTCTATTTTAGTGTGAATATCCACTTCCTTTTTAAGAAAATCATCGAGTGTGAGATATTCTATTGTTCCGTAAGAATTGCTACATTTATTTGTAGTTGCCTTAAATAGAAACGTCTCAAGAATATCCATTGCTTCCGGCCATCTTTCTTGGTTACAAAGAAATGCAGCATAATCCACCGTAGTAGCCGATTCTTTATTCGGTATTTCTGATAGGAATGTAGAGAACAATGTTTCAGCTCTGACTAAAGCAGTTATTCTTTCATCTGATTCCTCCGGATACTCAAATGCTGATGCAAAATGTAAACATGCCAGATTACCATTAAACGTTGAAAGATTCAAATCTTCAAGGTTGTCCATAACATGATCGGTAAACTGGACTGCCTTACTTGCTGAGCTGAGTTGAAATGCTACTGTGTGAACCACAGCGATACGACTTCCACCAAATTTATCAGTAGGAATCTCCTTCATATATGCAGTAATTTCAGAATGCTTTCCTTTAGACAACAAATTCTCGATATGACATGCAATTTCTTTCCAATTTGAATACTGGCATTCGGTAATTGTATTCGCTTTGTGAAAAGCAACTTCAGCTTCTCCCCAAAGTTGTAAATGTGTTAAGAAAAGACCATGTAAGTAGTTACTCCAAAACGTGTTTGATTGCTGACAGTATTGCTGAAATTTATCTAAGATTTCATCAGGTATACCTTTAATATTGTTCTCCTGTTGGTATGCCACTAGCAACATGTATAACGCAAGTGGAAAAGATGGTAAAGCAATCATTCTAATAGGTTCTCCAACCAGGTTGATTAAATCTTTTCTAAGATTTTTCTCTAATGTTATGATTTTGGTATCGTTGACATTAGTGTAGTTGTCTGGAGTGTCGCAGCTACTCTTAACATAATCTTTTAAATGAGAAATGCAAATATCGGTGCGTCCAGTTGCCATGTTACAGAGAGCAAACTCTACACTGACGGAGTCGTACAATCCTTTCTCTTCTACATACTGATTGAAATGGTCAGTTGTCTTTAAAAGTAGTTGACGGTTTATGTGAGACCCTTTCGGATGTTGACATGAGTAAGCGTGATAAAAGTTACCAAGATAACGATTTACATTTCTAATGTCCGGATATTTGTTCGCGTAAAAATCAACGGCAAACTCCAGACACCTGATGCACTGTGTTACTATTTTCCACTGGGAAATAAAGGAATATAAATATTTGCTAAAACAATCAGCTGGTGCACATGTTTGAAGGAAGTCGTAAAGGTCGGCCAAATAATGGACTGAATCATCTACTTTATCATCAACGAGAAGTGCCGAAACAAATGATATAAGTGTATGAATACACTCTTTTGCTGATTCCTCTCTATTCCTGTGAACTTTGAACTTTCTAAAATCATCTAAAACTGGGCCAATAAAATGTCTGAATGGTAGCACAGCACTTTGGTTTGCAATAATGTTGGTGTCTGTAAACTCTAACACTGGAGAAATTGGGTCCGTTCGGATTGAAGCTAACAGAATATCCAGATGATGGAATTCATCTTCAGTTAGATGATCCAGAAGATTATTTTCTGGTATGAAATAACTAGGAAGCCATCGGTCTTTTACAAATGCTATCAAAGTATCGAGAACATATATAATACATCCTCCTTGATTTTCATGCCAACACTCAGTCGGAAGGCGTTCACACGAGTAAAGAAAAGCTGTCTTCATATGATAGGAAGAGAGAAGATCTAAACCTTTCATTCTTACTTGTCGAAGTAATTTCAAATATACATAACACTGTCTTTGGTCGTCCGTTACAACGTCTTTTGCTAGCCTTACTTCTGATGTTGCGAACGACAATCTCCATTCTATGTTAGGATGTTTGGTGTGTCGATGTGGGACAGGCACAACATGGCATCCTTCATCAACAATGGATTTTATTAATGTATCAGACAACCAGTTGTTTGTTTTCTGCCTTAACGTCCAATTATTTGCAATTTTGGGCCACGTGATTGGTAAAGCGGCAACCATCTCCTGTCGAGGATGTTGCAAACTTGTACTCGATTGAAACAATTTTAAAGTTCTTGCAGTGATGTCTTCAAGTCCAACTGCTGGACCTTTCTGATCTACAATAAACTTTGAGATATCGGTCGATTGCTGAAACCCAATTTGATCCATTAAAGTTTTGATATCATCTCTAACTTTTTTGGCATTAAAAAATCCCCTTTCTTCAACATATATTGCAGTCGATGGATCAACTCCACGAAGAACAGATTCTGGATCGTTTATAAAGAGTCTACAATATCCAGGATGTACTTCTTCTATTTCTAAAACAACTTTTTGTTTATCAGTAGCTTGAAGGTCTAGTTCCTTAATGCGTCGCGAATTCCATGCCACAAGAACATCTATGTCACTGTGTTGAACACCTATTGGCATCTTAAGAGGTTCTTTTGATATCATTCTTGGAATTTCGTAACATTCTGCACTACTCCCAACGGCAATGTATTTTGATGGTGGATCTTCTCCGTATTGCTGACGACCTCTAGTATTGAGTTTGTCAATTTCTTGTTCTACTTTTGGATGTCTTTTCGATATCAAATGCTTAGGCAGAAGTAGGTTTACAATAAATGAAAAGTGTAAAGTTGGAATATCTGCCGTGTTGTCCCATTCCCCTGGTAATGTTGGACTTCCCTCTCCATCAGCATCTGAAAAAAAAACAAAGATTTAAAAACATACAAGGTAGAGAAATATAAACTGACACAAGTCGAAAGACTGACAACGCCGTGGCTATTAGAATTTATTGTGATCACATAAACCCCTGCTTACAGAAAAACTCATAAATGATTAATGCCAAAAACCAAAGTTCAAATTGAATATGACCTGTACAAACACATTATAACACGAATTCGAGTAGCGCATCTATTATTGATTGGTCGTGAATTGAATATTTTTTCTACAATCGAATCTCTTTCTTTTGGTGTAATTAGTTAAAGGTTAGACAAAACTTGGTCATGTTTTATGAATATCTAAAGCATGAGGAGTAGCCGAGAGGTTTAAATGTTTATAAATCATAATCAAATTTTGTCTGACCAATTAAGAACAGAAGCACATTGCAAATTTATCCTTTGCTATAATATTGTATATAAAAACTTCTGTAGTTCAGTGGTTGGTTCATGTCTGTCATATTTGTTTTTCGTCAATTGTTTTGTTATACATTAGTTTCCTCAATTGAATGGTTTCATATTTTTCATGTCGGGGCCTTTTATTGGCGACCGTACGGAATGGGTTTTTCTCATTGTTGAATACCGTACGGTTGCCTATAATTGCTTGTATCCACTTCATTTGAACTTTGGTGGATAGTTGTATCATTGGCAATCATACCACATCTCCTTATTTTTATATTTAATATGAGTTCCCTTTAAGTTTTAACATGGTTGATAAAGGAATGTAAATCATTTTAAATGGTGATTTCAACAGATGAAATGATATAACACTAATATAGCTTTAAGGGACGAAGAGGAAAAAAATGACAAAAATGGCGTTTTTTGTGCTTCAAGTTAATTTTGATACATATGCATCTCAAATTCCTTCATTTTTAAATGCACACAATGTTATCTAAATTATCTTTTCGAAAACTGTATATACTTTTTTGATAATGATAAAACTAAATCAATAAATGTTAAGAGTAGGATCGTTGCAACCTCAGATGCTTACTTTTTTATTGATGAATTTATTGTGTGTTTTTTTTTTTCTTCATTTATTTGCTTCATATATAAGCAGTCATTGTTTCTTAAAAAACATAGCCTCTTGGGTCAATAAGTTTAAATGTTTCTTTTTGTTCGTTCCATTATATAACGTTTACAAATTCAAAACTCATTTAAGTATATGTAAGAGAATGATAATCCCTTTCTTCATGAATAAGTACGAGCGTTAGCGAGTACTTATCATGAAGTAAGGGATTATCATTCTCTTACAAACTTAGAATATTGTAAAGTGCTCAAGGCTCAAATGATCTATCAATTAGTTTCATTGTCAGTGCAATGTTTATAATTGATGCATGACTTCCTTTTTCGGCATGTCATTTATGGATTAGTTTTAGTGATGTGAGGACTTTCTTATCATTTGGGAAATATTTTTAAAAAAATGCGTTATAGATATTTGGTGACACAACAGTAGAAAGAAAAGGTAGGAATTGTATGTTTCCTGATTGTGAGTATGAATGTAAATCATGTAATATTTTAGTGAGGAATTATCCTTTTTTTATTTACAGTTTAAATCAATTAATACATTTGAGTTACAACTAAATTTTATTTCACAGCCAATAATTTGGTCCGGCTTTTTACATCAAATACTGTTTCATTATGTCAGGGAAATGTTAAAAAATAATGCCCTTAAAAGTTTTTAATATGTTCAAAACTAAATTCCTGTTTTTTTTATCGGAATACATGTATTGGAAATAACTATTCTCCCCAACCGCTGATCAAGTAATCAAAGTTTTGGAAAGCTAAAGATTTAGGTTATTTTTTATCTGAAAGATTTTTTTCCTTTTTTTTTTTTGCATTGCTTTGGTATTGTTTAATTTTATAGTAATTTGAAGTTATTAATATTTTCATAATAACATTCACGGTACCAATTTTACTGCACCAGTGAACAACTTATTTTGAGATTTTTGTTTGTTTCACAATTCAACTTTTAGTCAGTTTCAATCACTCTGTGATAAATTCTTTCAATCTGATAAATGTGCTTCAGGGCAGTTGTAACTCATTTATAGAAACTCTTTGTTTTGAACTGTAAATAGACCCAAATAATAGGATAATCCCTCACTAAGAACATGATTTACATTCATTCTTCACAATTAAGAGGCATCCAATCCTACAATTTCATTGGTCGAGAGTACTTTGCTATATTCTAACAATGTTTTATATTTCTTTTCTTTTGTTATCATTTAGAATAACTAGATAAACAACAGTGCTCGTGATTTTTGTTCCTTTTGCTCTTTTCCTATGTAAATTGCCCCAGGGGTTGTATACTTCGTTAATGCAATCATAAAGAGTTCACTTTTATAATTAATCAATGAAAAGTCATTCATGTATATCATTTTAAAGGGCATGAAAATTCATGCACTATGGGGAAAAAAGAAGAAAACAGTACTGATTTTCCACTGGACGAGCAGGAGTGGGTATGTTCTAAGTAAACAATGTCTTGACAACACATATTGTTGTATTGCGTAGGAGGAGTGAAAATAAAGAATTCATTTCACACGTGAAACCCCCGTGTTTATTGACAAGAGAACCGCGGTATTTTGTTGTTGCAACTATATCGTTATAAAGAACGAAGCTCTACATTTTCAGTTTATTAATTGGCAGTAGTTTTATCAAAAAAGTTGATGAGAAACTGTTCTACACGAATATGATTTGTTAATCGAATTGTGAACACTAGAACATCTTTCTATCTTACTGTAATCAAATAATGAACTTTCAGTAGTATTTTCAAGTGCTTTGTTACTGTCTGGGACATCAGCAGAACATGGGCGCGATTCTGTGAACATATATATAATGAATTTAACTGTCTTTTTAAACGCGGTGTATATTCTACAAATTGTGCTCATACAAAAAGAAATTTGGCGCGAGCCGTATAAACTTGTTGAAACCCATTGTATTTATAAATAAAGTGTATTTATCAAGTCAGTATTATCATAGGATTACCATATTACAATGATACAATAAAGTAAAGAGATTTCCACAAAAGTTGAGATTTCCACAAAAGTTAGCAAGTATTTCTAATATACTAGTACTTGATCAGAACGTTGATTTTCTCTTTTTAATTATCCTACAATTTGTTTTCCCGAGACTTTTTATAGCTTACAAGACGATATGTGTTGTAGGCTAGCTATATTGCGAACTGAAGCTTGTTTACATTATTGTCCTCCGGTGCTGGTTGATTATTATCTTTTTGGTCACATCTACCACAATTTGTATCTTTAAATTTCAATAGCATAACATATACGTTTTGTTTCAGTTAACCTAAATGCCGTGTTGCGTTTAACCATTCAACAATCACTGAAGACATTCTGACAATTACAATTATACCTTTTTTTGAATCTTCTGTCGACGGCGGTCTATTTTCTTGCATCTGATCATCGTGTTGTCTTTCATATGGCACTTCACATTTTGCACAACAATCCATATCAACAGAACTTTCAGTCACTTCTCTTGCAAAGTCTGTATTTTCTACTTCATCATTTTGTTCGGCATTATTCCGGTCTGATATTGCAATGTTGTCGCTTATTTTTTTTCCATTTGATTCAGCCATGATGTCTAGTTTACCTGCATGAGTAAGTTTATAAAATCATCATAAAATACCGGTTTGATGTTAACATAGTATATTATGGATTTAAATTATTAAGTGTTGACCTATTTTTGAAGGAAAAGATTCTATATTTAAACTACTGTTAAAAACAGAATTAAGTTAATCAACCAAAACATATCAGATTCCGTCTCGAATATTTATTGACCGAATTCATGAGTTACCTCCGAAAATGCAACTGGATTTGAAAACGCAATGAATGCAGATTTTGTAAAGATTCCTGTCTAATCACCAAAAGTTTAATTTGCTTATCAGAGAAAAATACACAAGCGTTGTAATAATTTAAATTTACGCTTAATCGAAGTATTATACCAATTGGAAATCAAAGTTGTCTTTCTTTGCACATAAATCTGGTAATATCGTCAAATAAGTATATACTGCAAGATATCATATCTAGAATTTTCTATAGAGAGGGTATCACTTATATATCGGAATGTGAAGTGAATAGATAATGCTTTTTTCTTTCATTCTTCTTGAGAAGTCAAGTGATCAACTAATGAACAACACTGTTTATTTCTTGATGTAAGTCAAGATGCGAAGCATCTTTAAAAGTGAGGTCAAAGGTAAATGCCAGATTTTTAGGCATGTTAGGATAAGCCATCAACAGGAAGGCTCATAACTCGACACGTGTTTTAAGAGAAGTATTGATGCAATCAAAGTGTTTTACTGTACATTAGTGATTACCATGAACAATTTGTAAGGCAATACGAAATACAAAGAAGAAACGTTTGAAGTTTGTTTTGTTTTTTTCTATTTCAAGGTTTTGCGTTGTATATTCTACCCGAGAAAGGCGCTGACCATTCATCTTTGTTTATTTTTTTTTTAATAATTTGGTCGATTCATAACTTCTTGAATAAAATGATGTTTCAGAGGGGAAATGAAAAACATAGGTTGTTGAAAATTAATAAGAGAACGGCTTATTCTGAATAAAGTTTAAAAAGATACTTCCAATTGCTTATCCTAAGAAGATATCACCTGAAACTTCCCCTTAAAATATCATATTCTGAATGGAAAAACGGCGAATCCATACAGTTTTGTGTTTTACAGCTTGCATTTTTCAGTTAACTTTAAATCGTTGTATCTATATACTGCCTCAATACTACGAGAGCAAGGTAAACATAATATGGTCTTAGATGCATGATTTTTTTTATTAGATGTTATTGCCTTTAAACTAGCTGTCAGTAACCGCGAGTACTCTCAGATCTGTACTTTGTGCCTTTTTTGTTGTGGGGATGTATATACCCTGCCGCGTCCGGTCTGTGTTTATTAGATGTTTTTTCTGCTTTCTATCGATCTAATGAGTTGATACCTTTTCATCTGATTTTTATAGTTTGTTCTTGTGTTGCACTGTTATTCCACTTTCCCAGGCTGGGGAGAGGGTTTGGCGCCAACAAACTAGTTTAACCCCGCCACATTGTTTGTGCCTGTCCCGAATCAGGAGCCTGTAATTCAGTGGTTGTCATTTGTTTCTGTAATTCGTATATGTTTTTCGTTCATTGTTTTGTACATAAATCAGGCCGTTAGTTTTCTTGTTTGAATTGTTTTACATTTTTTATACTTCTTTTTATACTTGGTTTTGGTGTCAGTTGGGTGAGACTATACTCGACTTGGTGTAGAGGGAGGTCGGATGAAACTCGTATGTGTAAGTGGCTGACAAGTAATTTGTATGCTGTTCATGTTATTTTAGGACTTTATCATACCACTAGGGTTTCTGAAATTGTCCGGTTACCTTTAAAATAAAAACACAAAGTTCTGTTCAGTTGGAATACACAGATCTTTTTTTGTTTATTATTGTACAATACTACACATCAAATTGAAATACAAATTACCATAGTAATAATTAACAAATGCAATAAAATTGTAAATAAATCAAATAACATTGAATAATTTAAGCTTTCCATTAAATTAAAATTAAAAGAGTACCTTGTTTCTATTTTCAGATAACAGTTTAAAAATTTACTTTTAACCACAAATTCTTTCTCAATTTAAATGATTAAGTCGTTACAAAAAATTTGTAAAGTCTACTAACCTTTAAAATAAAAACACAAAGTTCTGTTCAGTTGGAATACACAGATAGTACACCAACTGAACAAACTTGTTTATATAGTACCCGGAGAAATTATCCCATTAATCAAATAAAGTAATAAACGTCGGTACTAAAATTTTGCATCTTTGAAGTGACCGTTGAATTACCCTTATTTAAACTCTTTACCTTCCCAATACACTTAAAAGTAACATGTGTAATGGGGTTTACGTAACATGGTCATTTAGTAATCTGAATCGAGTGTTTACTTACATCATAAACCCCACTGGCTAAATTTGTACATGGTCTATAAAACTTTATACATGGACATTTATCTATGGACAAGTGCAACTAAACTATGTATACATTATATTTCAAACTTTGAAGAATATTTAATGAAAACTTCTCTATAATAATACTCCCCCACTCCATTTAATTTTGGAGCTCCAAAATTTTTGGGAAAAAGACAAATCAACAACACAAGTAATTGAAATGAATATGTACAAACAAATTGAAGCATATAAAAGAAAAATATCTGTTTTATTCTAAAAAAAAATTTGCGCTTCCAAACAACATATGTGGGTTGTAAGGAATAATGTTGATATCCGTTGATATTGTATATATCGGTTAGACAAGTTGTTATGACCAAGATGACTGATTGCGTTTAGTTATACTTATTCGTGACTTTATATGACCATATACATGCAGTATTTTATTTATGGTTTTTTTTTCCAAAAAAAAAAAAACACAATTTGATCTTAAAAATATTTTTCATTTACAAATCTGTTTATTCTTTATTATAAGAGCGTTGGTGTTTATCTTATCATTATTATTATCGTTTCTCTATTACATTTGTGGTAAGCCCGCTTTTCTTGGTAGTCTGCTCGAACTCCAAACATACCTGAGTCATTTCCTCTCTATGGAGTATGCTCATTTTCCTGGGTATTTTGCTCCGACTCCAGAACTACCGTAAGACATACCTTCATTTTCTATTATATTACTTTAGTCAAATTTGTTGTTTGTTTTACAATGGATAGTTTTCTAAAACATTTGATTACAGTTAAGATTTCACATTAGGGATAAGGATTTGCCTATGCTAGAATAATATTGTGTTTGCTACAATCAAGGTTTTACATGATGACTAGCTAGGTCAACATATTTTACACTAATTTAATTAGGTGATCAACTAAAATTAAATTCTTATGATTAAACTAACATTAAATTCTTGCACACAGGAACCTTAAAACACATGTTTTACTCAACATTTTTATCGTAATCGCTCTAGAACCATTAAACACTTTAACAATCAACTAAGATTTATAATTCATTTTCCCAAGTGCATTTCTCTTTAAATGACTATTTATTTATTTCTATATTTGTTCCTTATACGACACTTTGCTTATCTCGACATTTTCTGATGTGGACGTTTTATTCCACATAATATCAAGTTTTTAAGTCTTTAAAACAACCAACCTCTTCTTACAGATTTGATTTTTGTTATGTACTTTTATCTTTTGAAGGTTAAAGTTTAAGGCATTATTTAAAGGCTCTCATATAAACAAGGATATATCTTCCTTTCCTTTTTACGTTTAATGAATTTGAACCGCCTAAACGTTAGCGTCTAAGACATATTACATTTCAATATAGTTACTCTAAGTTACTTGTTGTTTTTTCTATTAAGTAAACTAAAAATATTTTCCTGATCATCTCATATTTCTTTATTTTTATTTTCTTTTACATCAATCATCACCATCTAGTATCTTAGTTGCCATTTACAGTCTTCCAAATTAAATGATTTTTTTTTTATCAACACTTTAAATAAAGATGTTTAGGCACTTAAATATAATAATTCATATTTCGTTTATCTCAATTTAGACATTTCTTTTTTAAATTTACCTTTATCAATGACTCCATTTTCAATTTAACCTAATTCTTACATACATTATTTTTTTTTTACTAACTAACTTTAACTTACTTTCTATTTTTTTTTCACCTTATCGCTATTTAATCTATTTTAACTTTAACTTTAATTTTTTTTTTTTCTATTTAATTTATTTTTAACATTAACGTTTACTTACTTGCTATCTAATAATCAGATTTTTTTCATAGAACATATATACAATATATACACAAAGCGTGAACAAATAGTTAAATTTAAAATAAACGTCCCAAAATTCAACTCCGTCAGGGACCACCTTTCTCCGTTCTCCGTACTCCTTTCTCCATTCTTTGTTATCCTTTCTCCAACTTTGGATCCCAGTGCTGGTGACAACGGGTGAAATCCTTTAAGGTTGTTCATGCTTGGTTTGGTTGACTGCCCTGGTTTTTCTACCACTTCTAAGCTTCATCCACCGGAAATCGTTTTCTTTTCCTCCACCACTTTTTATACTTGCACACTTTTTATACTTGGTTTTGGTGTCAGTTGGGTGAGACTATACTCGACTTGGTGTAGAGGGAGGTCGGATGAAACTCGTATGTGTAAGTGGCTGACAAGTAATTTGTATGCTGTTCATGTTATTTTAGGACTTTATCATACCACTAGGGTTTCTGAAATTGTCCGGTTACCTTTAAAATAAAAACACAAAGTTCTGTTCAGTTGGAATACACAGATCTTTTTTTGTTTATTATTGTACAATACTACACATCAAATTGAAATACAAATTACCATAGTAATAATTAACAAATGCAATAAAATTGTAAATAAATCAAATAACATTGAATAATTTAAGCTTTCCATTAAATTAAAATTAAAAGAGTACCTTGTTTCTATTTTCAGATAACAGTTTAAAAATTTACTTTTAACCACAAATTCTTTCTCAATTTAAATGATTAAGTCGTTACAAAAAATTTGTAAAGTCTACTAACCTTTAAAATAAAAACACAAAGTTCTGTTCAGTTGGAATACACAGATAGTACACCAACTGAACAAACTTGTTTATATAGTACCCGGAGAAATTATCCCATTAATCAAATAAAGTAATAAACGTCGGTACTAAAATTTTGCATCTTTGAAGTGACCGTTGAATTACCCTTATTTAAACTCTTTACCTTCCCAATACACTTAAAAGTAACATGTGTAATGGGGTTTACGTAACATGGTCATTTAGTAATCTGAATCGAGTGTTTACTTACATCATAAACCCCACTGGCTAAATTTGTACATGGTCTATAAAACTTTATACATGGACATTTATCTATGGACAAGTGCAACTAAACTATGTATACATTATATTTCAAACTTTGAAGAATATTTAATGAAAACTTCTCTATAATAAATTTGTCAATTCGGAGCCTTTGATAGCTGACTATGCAGTATGGGTTTTGCTCATTGTTTAAGGCCGTATCCCCATTAGTTGTAAACGTCTATGTCATTTGGTCTCTGGTGGAGAGTTGTCGCATTGGCAATCATACCACATCTTCTTATTTTTACTATGAAACTCGTCTGTTTGAGGGCAGAAATCCATATCATTGAAATATTGTCATTTACAGTTCCACTACAGACTTGCATAATAGCAAAACATTATGGTTTTTGGATTTTTTTGGGGTTTTTTTTTCATAAAAACTACTATATAGATATAAGAAGATGTGGTGTGGGTGCCAATGAGACAACTCTCCACCAGAGACCAAATGACATAGAAGTTTACAACTATAGGTGATACGGCCTTCAACAATGAGCAAAACCCATACTGCATAGTCAGCTATCAAAGGCTCCGAATTGACAAATGTAAAACAATATATGACACTAAAAAATGGATAAGACAATTATGACAAGCAGTGCATTCTGCGTGTATTATACGGCCATGCGCCTTAGTACTGTGACGTACAAAAGATGTGGAAGATACCAAATGGACATTCAAAACTCATAAATCGAAGAGAAACTCACAACGCCATGTTAAACAAATTGAAAAATGACGAAAAGACTAGACACTGTACAAAACACTACGTCATAGAAAACTGAAGACGAAGCAAAACGAACACCACCACAAACTGGGGGTGATCTCAGATGTTCTGGAATAGCTTATGAATTGAATTTTAAACTCATAGCAACAACTTAACAATCACACAATCATGGCGAAAGTATGATTTATTGCTTCAGTTAAACAAGAAATGCCGATTAAATATGTTACCAGACACAAATTTTATTGATTTCTAGTATTTTTATGAAGTGTTTGTCTTAAAGTTAATTATTTCAGAATTTTATCGGATAGCAGAGTCATCAGTAGAACTGTAAGCTCTTTTTTTTTGTATACATGTAAAAATACTATCTGTTTGTAGGATAACGTTAATAAGACAACGTTTCGCTTGTTTTAATTTTTTTGACAGCACTTGGACTAATCCAAAAGTACCTTACACCAGATAGTACTAATCCCGGTTATCAGTGTTTTGTATTCACACTTGCATCAGTTTTTGCATATATCTTGAGAAATTAAAAAAAGTCTTTTAAGGCCCTAATAGTTTTTAATAGTTTATCATTACCTTAGCTTGCATTGGCGATCTAGACATGTATTCTGCTGGTGCGTTGGATGCTAATAAAGGTTGGTATCACGTAGCGCCAAAATGGGTAAACTGCAAAAACAAATGAAAACAACCTTTTAAATTTCAATGAAAACAATCTTCGATAATTGATTACTTTCAAAGTTTCAATGAAAACAACCTACGATAATTGATGGATTGATTATTGATGTCTGCACTGGCGGTCAGTTCTGATTTTCACGTGCATGTATTACTTCATTTAGTAATGATTTCAGATCGTCGATTATCTGTGTTGAATATGTTCATCGCTAATGATTCGTTTGTCAAAGCCCATGGCGATTTGACTCATTTCATTTATGGAGACCATGCAGTGGCCATTCAAGTGTATTGCCTTATTGTTTTTTGACGGGTGACAGTTCCTTGACGATTACACCAATTCTTGTTCATATCATATGCAATATAACTAAAGGATATGTGGAATATACGTCCATGAGACAACAACCCTACGGCAAAAACACACAAAAGTAAGCAATAGGACAACCTACAACAGACAGTAATCTGTCTATATAGTATGTCAATAAGTATATATAATAATATAAAAATAAGGAGATGTGGTATGATTGTCAATGAGACAACTAGCCACCAAAGTTCAAATGAAGTGTATGTAAGCAATTATAGGCAACTGTACGGCCTTCATAAATAAGAAAACCCCATACCGTATAGTCGGCTATAATTGATCCTGACATGAAAAATTTGAAACAATTCAATTGAGAAAACGAACGGGGGACTTATAACAAAATAATTTACGAAAAACAAACATGACGGACATGAACCATCATGCAGCGACAACCACTAAACTACAAGCTCCTGAATAAGTCTGCATCAGATGATTGACAGTCCAGTATTTTTTACATGTATTTTGTTTTACGATTCGATAACATTGAGTTCGAGAACGCACGAAATTGACAGTCTTTCCACACAGGTTTGATTGACAAAGTTTAACAAATTTGAAACCATGGATGCATTTTACTGTTGCAGGGTTTTCCGTTTTGCTTATTTTATTCAAATGAAATCTGAACGCAGGCGATACATAACTCTGTGTCCACAAATTCTAATGAACATCGAAAAAGGAAGTATTTACAAACTATCGTTTCAACCACATAATTTAAAATAAAATAACATCCTTGACCGCTTTATTACATAATACAATGAACTCTATGTGAAGAATAAAATATGTCAAGCACGCCATATCTTAGTTTCATCTTGTTCTCAAAGATAACCGCATATACACAGCGAAACGGAAAAATCCAAAATAAACGTTCAAGAACAGTTTTTACATTTGAAGGAGTTAAGCAATCATACGAACTTAAATCAAAAGTCTAGAAGTTTAAAAATGGACAGGAACAAACCATACACGGAAGAAGACGACGAAGCTAAACCAAGTAAGAACATTAGCACTAGAATTTAATTTAGATATTATAGACTGTATCTTGCCTTTGTCAACCATTTGACAATCATTTTGCTGATAGTGCCATTACAGAGTATACGGAAAGGAAACCAGCGCTGTACGGAGATTGGCCATGTATATGCATATGCTGAACTGCTATAACCAGTTTATATGTTTTTATGCATTAAATTAACCTAGCTGTCTCTCTTTAAAACTGTTTTGTCAAAACGTACACTTTGTTTAAAAATATATTTGTAATACCATGGCATCGTGTGTGGTTGTACTTTTATTTTCTCTTTCCTTCGGTAGATGAAAACGGTATTGGATTTCCCTTTATTGATAAACAGTTCTTTAAGCAAGCTGGATTGCAAGTAGCTTGTTCAAATTTGTGTCAGTGAATAGTACAGACAGTAGAGAGATTCTAGATTTTCTAATAAATTGTCAGTGGTATTTTTCAACCAGTCTATTTATATATTTTATAAGCTGTATTGTTTTTGAATAATGTATTATTATCTAAAATTAACGCGATCCTAGAAAAGTTGTAAACAATTCAACAGATACTATAAAATTTATGGCACCAAATAGAATTATTACAAGGACAAAATGAGCACTCAAAATATGAATGCTGATAACCATAGGCGCGGTTCTTGACCTGTCTGTCTTTTTCGAGCCTTCGACTTTTGTCGAAAAAGCGAGACATAGCGATCCTACATTCCGTCGGCGTCGTCGTCGTCGTCGTCGTCGTCGTCGGCGGCGGCGTTCACAAATATTCACTCTGTGGTTAAAGTTTTTGAAATTTTAATAACTTTCTTAAACTATCCTGGATTTCTACCAAACTTGGACAGAAGCTTGTTTATGATCATAAGATAGTATCCAGAAGTAAATTTCAAAAAAAAAATCAATTTTTTCCGTAATTTACCTCTATATGGACTTAGTTTTTCTGCCAGGAAACATTACATTCCTCTGTGGTTAAAGTTTTTAAAATTTTAATAATTTTCTTAAACTATCCTGGATTTCTACCAAACTAGGACAGAAACTTGTTTGTGATCATAAGATAGTATCCAGAAGAAAATTTTGTAAAAAAAACAAACTATTTTTTCCGTATTTTACTTATAAATGGACTTAGTTTTTCTGCCAGGAAGCATTACATTCACTCTGTGGTTAAAGTTTTTAAAATTTTAATAACTTTCTTAAACTATCCTGGATTTGTACCAAACTTGGACAGAAGCTTGTTTATGATCTAAAGCTAGTATCTAGAAGGAAATTTTGTTCCTGTTTTCCCGTATTTTACTTATAAATGGACTTAGTTTTTCTTCCAGTTAACATTACATACAGTCTGCAGTTAAAGTTTTTAAAACATTTATTAGATTCATTAACTATCCTGGATTTTTACCAAACTTGGACAGAAGCTTCTTACAATCAAAAGATAGTATCGAGAGGAATATTTTTTTTTTTTTTTTTCCTCATTTTTGTTGAGCCTTCGATTAACAGCAAAAATAGGCGAGACACTGGGTTCCGCGGAACCCTTACGAACTTTTATTAAAATGTGGTGTTGGTTTAATGTCCAATTAAAGATTACACACACCATTTACAGCAGTATTAAGATTTGTTACTAGTTGCAAACTTGTCATTTGGCTGAAATCGGTTACAAATTACTATATTAGTATATAATCAAAATGTGATATTAATGGTTACCGTTTACCATGAAACTACTGATTGTAATTTCTTTAAAAATGACGTCAGGAAGTAAAAACATACTTCATTCTCTGATGACCAAGTGGCAAACATGGTGACAATGATGACAAATATATTCCTCTTGAACATATTTTCCTTAGATGTCCCGCCTTCAATCGGATGAGGCAATATCTTTCCCTGTCCATCAGTTAATCCGTCCCGTATCAGATTCAATTTTTTTTTAAGTTTACCGTGAAGTCGTGGTCACTTCAACTTCAAACTTGGTGCATATGTTCATTATGATATGCATGTATACATGTTTGCCAAACTATGGTTCTGACCCATATTATTAGGTTCACTGAACATAGACATGTGAAAGTACGGAAGCCCATTTAGGACCTCCCAAAAATATATATTTAATTCGAAATCACGAATTTAAATTGTTATCACGAATTGAAGAATTCGTTATAACAGATTTAATTCGTGATAACTAATTTTCAGAATTAGTTATAACAGATTAAATTCGTGATAATTAGTTATAACAGTTTTTTAATTCGTAATTACGTACAATTAATTATACAATTCGTTATCACATTTTAAATCCGTTATCACGAATTACAAAAAATTGTGAAAACGAATTAAATCCGTTATTACGAATTACAAAAACTGTTATAACTAATTCCATAAATTTGTGATAACGAATTAAATCTGTGATAACGAATTCAAATTATATTTTTGGAGGTCCTAAATGGGCTTCCGTATGAAAGTCTTAAGTCCCCCAAATGGACACATAAAATTATTCTTCTCTGAATCTACAAAGCCGATAAGTACTCTTATAATAATGCGCGAAAGGTCGTTTATACTATAAATAGTTTGCTTCAATCGACCGAAAAAGCGTTATCGCAAGTGGGAAATTGATTAGTCCTTTATTTTCTAAATCTATAGGACATAGTATATACTACGTGAAGGATGCAGGACCCGAGTTCTTGGTCCTCTTGTTACAATGTTTAATAGTATGCTATGATTGCAGAAAAACAAAGAATGGATTCAGATGCAGAAATTAATGCACCAGTGATCTTATATGAAAGGACAGATGGAACTCATAGTCTAAAAAATATTGGTAAGAAATTAAATCTTTATTTTTCTTTATCATAAATTTTATTTCATATTTATAGCCTGTTACAGTTATATCATAAAACCAATCGTATTTCAAGATCCTCTGTCTTCATATAATGTTAAATGACACCAACATATCTAAAAGACAAAAAAGACCTGATATAAGTAGTCTTTTAAATTCTTATTGGGAGCATTATAAAATAATTCCGGAACACCTGAGATCACCACAGGTTTTGGTGTGGTTCGTGTTGTTCAGTCTTTAGTTTTCTATGTTGTTTTTTTCTTTTTTGCCATGGCGTTGTCAGTTTATATTCGACTGTTTAAATGTTCCTTTTGTATTTTTCGCCTCTCTCTCTCTCTCTCTCTCTCTCTCTCTCTCTCTCTCTCTCTCTCTCTTATAAGCCAGGAGCCTCAATCCAGGGATTATATCGGTTGGATGTCAAATTTTATTTTCTTTCAGTATAATTAGCTTATGCATGTATCAGGCTAATATTTATGATAAAAAAAATTGTTTCCCATTTTATTATCCAGCGGTCTGTTTATCAATTTTAAGCATTTGTCTTTACTTATTCTTTGGTTTAGGTTATATATCTGTAACAAGTCATGACTGAGTTGTTCACCAGCAAATCTGTTACCTAATTTGTTTTTAATTACACTTTTCATATGTAATGTATGATTTGTTGTCTTCTCCAACAGATTCTAGGTCAAAACGTTACTTCTTTGTAATGTTGTAAAATTTTTACATTATTTTTTTTTTGAACAGTTTATTTCCCATGCGAAGCAGTTGGTGTGTTTTCTTTTGTCACTGAATTTGGGCCAGCTTTTTTTATATTCCTTTTCCGATCTTGTCAATTTTATTGAAATTGTTTGTTAGATTCCTTATTTTCATATACATGTTCTGTATTTTATTATCGACATTTATTTTTTGTCGCTTATATTATTTTCCAAGTGATACAAAACGTTCTGAAATCAATCTATAATTATTTAGCACTTAATTATGAATTTATTCTTAAGAAATAGCAAATAAGCTAAGGTTTTAGCGACTTATACGCGCTAGAGATTATTTGAATGCAACATTAACACTTTTAGAAGTACAAATGTACTAACTAGTTCGAAATCTGTATATTTTGTTAATAACAAAAATCATGACAAATAAACTATGATATGTTTGATGATAGGTATGCATTTATTGTTGTTTGTAGTTTTTTTTCATAAAATGACAATGATTTATAATACCGGATCATTTTCCGTCTTCAGTGACATTTAGATCATTAGAATGCTTTTTTACATTGATTTCGGTACCTCTGGTGTTCTAATCTATAGGATTCTTTTAATTAATATAGATATAAGAAGATGTGGTATGAGTGCCAATGAGACAACTCTCCATCCAAGTCAAAATTTATAAAAGTAAACCATTATAGGTCAAAGTACGGTCTTCAACACGGAGCCTTGGCTCACACCGAACAGCAAGCTATAAAGGGCCCCAAAAATTACTAGTGTAAAACCATTCAAACGGGAAAACCAACGGTCTAATCTATATAAAAAACGATAAACGAGAAACACTTATGAACCACATCAACAAACGACAACTACTGAACATCAGATTCCTGACTTAGGACAAGTGCAAACAATTGCAGCGGGTTTAAACGTTTTAATGGTACCAAACCTTCACCCTTATCTGAAACAATAGTGTAACATCACAACATAGAAAGACACACTATAAAATATCAATTGAAATGGCTTAACTCAATCAAAAGACATGTCAACACCACTGAACATACACTGAACAAATAAATTTGATCTATGATACAATGTAAATACAAAATAAATAAACTAAGGGAAGAATAATTAAAGTAACATGTTATACCGTTGTGAAATGTTAAATAATTTAAGAAAAACAATATGCTTGAACAAAAATATCAGCCATTTGCAATTACTTTAAACACTGGTAAATGAAAATAATTTTGTTGTTAGGTATACGTGTACAGTTCAAATGGAGAAAGGAAATATTTTTACAAAATAAATAATTTTGATGTTCATAGTACTAAGAAGTGAACATCGGTAAACTACTGTCGTCGGCTTAACTTATCTGTATCTCAATTGTAATTTCTTTAAGTCTGATGATGAATCTGAACAATAGCAAGAATAATATTTGCATAAAAATTGACATTTTTTTATACTTTTTTTATTGATGTAAATTTTGGTTACTCTTCCAATGCAAATGAGTTCATTCCGATATTGTTGGGTTGTGCATAGTGCTTATGATTAGTTTACTTTTTTATCAGTCTTTTTGCATGTGCTGTCTTGTCCCCCGGCTATAGATTTTTACTGTTCTTTTTGGCATCTCGTAATATTATTGGAACTATTTGTTGATTTTGATTCTAATGATAAAAAAATTATATTATCAATTAACTATAACTGTTGGTCTTTTTTTAGATCCATCGTGTACGGACATGCATCTTGATGATGAATTGGACGAGGTTTCTAACATCTCAACTCTTCATCTATCATTTCTTGTCAATTTACTCATTCCAAATCACCTTATGGCAACAAAAGAACAAGCAGAATCGGACATGGAAAAACTAAATGCGAGACTTCATCAAGAATATAAATCTTTCCAGTCTAATTGCATTTTTGTCGGAAGCAATGCCGAACGTTACCAGATACCCAGAGTTGTATCAAAACAACCAGGAAAAGAGGCGAAAGGCATTCATTATAGCGATATTGATATATTAATGGTATGGGATGTTCCATCCATTAAAGAGTTAGATTCAAAATCTATTAAACAAAATCTTGTACTTGAAACAGAAAATGTTCACCCTGGTTATTGCAGAGTTTTTGTTAATGATCCTGAAACGGTCCTTCGAGATTTAGACCCATCAACTGCCCTATGCTTCGACGAAAAACTATTTTACAATGCAAAGAAAGTGAGGGATGATATGAAAATAGTGGCAGATCTTTATCTCATGAAACAGTCTTTCGATCAACTTAAAGTTGATCAGAAAGGTCCTGCACTTGGACTAGAAGATATTACCGAAAGAACTTTAGAAACATTTCTATCAAACGTTAGACCTAATCATCCAAGACATGAACTTGTTCCAGCTCTACCAATTGTATGGCCAAGAATTGCAGATAATTGGAGGTTCAGACCAAGAAACAATGGATGGTTAACTGATGAGTTAATTAAATCCATTGTAAATGAAGGTTGCCACGCAGTCCCTGTTCCACATCGCCACAGTGAACATCCAGATATAGAATGGAGGCTATCATTTGCTACATCGGAAGTTCGTTTGGCAAAAGAAGTTGTAAATGATGACCAAAGAAAATGTTTAATGTATCTGAAAGTGTTACGCCATGAAACAATGAACAAATTCGAGCTTCTGTCGTCATATCATTTCAAAACAGCTTTTTTGTATGCATGCGATCGAATACCACTGAAAAGTTGGAGGGAAAATCCAGGATTTTGTATTTTGTATGTTCTAGATACATTGTTGGACTTCGTTAGAAACCGTTTTCTTCCTAGTTATTTTGTACAAGAAAATAACCTTCTAGATCATTTGAAAGAAGACGAATTTTTAATCCTTCAAACTATTCTAGAAAGTGTTCGGTCTGATCCAGTGATCCCCATTTTGAATTTTACCGACGTGAATGTTGTAGGCATGCACAGTGCAACAGAGACATTTCGAAACATCATTCAAGGAGTTATTGAAGACAGTGTATGTTTCAAACAAAACAAAAACAAGACGACATCAATGAACGTTTTCAGACAAACTCTACACACATTTATTTTTCATCTCTTTGTTGATGACAAGGTGGAAGCTGTTGTTCGATATGTTGGCGATTTTTTCGAATTCTTTCGTGTATTTTATCAAATGGACAGCTTTAGCAAGTACTTCGAATCCTTTACAATCCACTGGGAAATCATTTCGCAAAGCATTCGCTACTTTGAAATTGCTATTAATCTGTTCTCCTGTCGATACACAGGTGTGAACAGTTTCCATGGAAACCTTGGGGCACTGTATTTTGCATCCTCATTCCAATGTATAACAAAGTCCGAATTGTCAAAAAAAGCACTCAATAATGCGAAACATCATTTCGATCAATATATAAGTGAGCTTGGTCTTAACACGCAAGTTGCTGTGCATTTCACACTGTTTCTTCGTGCAACTGGGAAAATTGATTTGTGTATTGAATTACTGAACAAAATAATACAAAATGAAAATGAAAACCCGAAAAATTGCTACAATCTTTCTACTGTAGTTATTTTAGAAGCAAACTTGAGACGCAACTTGAAGGATCTACTTTCTGAAAGCCCTGAAAGAAGAATCATTGCTATACCAGCAATTTCTCTAGCTTATTATCTTCTTTCAGTTGTGACATTTCAGCACCGTAATCACGACGAGATCATGGATAATATTTTAGATAAATTTAATGCACATTGTCAAGATCGAAACACTTTTCTTGACCACTACTTATTCTCTTTGTGCTTACAAAATATTAAAAAATGGAAATTAGCTGAAGTGTCCTTTCAAAAGACTGTGGACATTCTTTTAGAGTCAGACTCCTTATCATGTCTTCATGAACTATCTTGTCACATTGATGAACTTATAAAAGTTTGTAGAATTGAAGATCTGCTCTCACAAGGAAAGGTTGGTGAAACATGCGAGTACATCGTTGAGACCATCTTAGAACCATTTGGCAAAGATAGCCTGCATCTCGTCGAAAACGTTGCATGTTTAATTAGTGCACCCAGCAGGAACAAGTTTTTGAACGACATTTTCCCACAACTACAGCAACATTGTGGCAATGAATCCATGTTTTATGGAATCTTGGCACGTTTACATTTCAGATCTGCTTTTGACAGTTTGCCAGATTCAGAAGACAGATACATATCAATTGCAAAAGCTGATACGCTCTTTTCAACATTTCTGTCTGAAGAAGAAAATAAAATGTCTGCAACAGTAGTGGATTATGCTCTATTCCTCTGTTACCAAGAACGATGGTCCGAATCAGCAGATCTTCTTCAGAAATTTATCTGTCAAAAATTCCCGCTAGACCAGTCTACCTGTTACGACATAAAACAATATGATACTCTTGATGATATGCTGAAGAAGGAAATTGAAATTCATTCTCAAATTAAGGCTCATACAAAAGCATTTGCATATTTATTTCTTATCAAATCCTTGGTGAAAATGGGCGAAGTTCAAAATGTTGAAAGGGCAAAAGAAGAATTTGCAGAATTTTGTGAAGAAATTGAGGAGGATAGATTGAGATCATACAGTCTGCTTGGGTACAGCGAACTACAGAGTGAAAACTGGTCCGCGGCTGAACATTGGTTCTACAAGGCAGTTCAAGGATCGTGGCACTACACAGCAGCGAAACAAAATGTAGCTTTCTGTAGGTCCAAAATGCCTAAGTTAGTGAACAGTATATACACTGAAAAGTATTTGCCCTTCTGCATTGCGGCAGAATTGAAAGGAATGTTCTGAAAGAATAAAAAATTATAATGTCCTCATTAAGATTAACAAATTGTTACGATGGTGTGAAATCTTGATTGCTTCAAACCGTAGAAGTATTATATTGAAATTTTACTTCCATGTCCAAACTAAGAACACACATCAGAACGTAATATTGTGCTAACCTCCGCCTAGTCACATGCACATTATATTGATTGACTGGTCAAACACATATTATTAACAACACTTATAGTGCACGTGACTGTTAGGCAATGAAACGCTTTTCCCGAAATAATTTATTTCAACTCTATATAAGAAAAAGTTATAACAACGGAATTCAACAAAAAAGTGGTATACCTTATTGGAATACCTAAGTTAGTGGCGGTTGTTTACATATTATATAAAGCAAGACAAATTTTGATTGAGAATTAAATTTATGTTTGAAGTTGGTCATTTTCTTCATATACCCACTTATAAAGTAGCCTAGTTTGCTTAGCCATACTCGAGTCTCGTTTTCTTTTTTGTTTTACGTTCCGGTGGCGAGTAGAAGAGCTCGAAATTAGTTAATAGGGTTTACTGGTTTTAACCCGTCTGTCCGTCCGTCCTTCGTCATTTTGTTATAGCGAGTTTAGTTCGTTCAATTTTTATCGGATCCTATTCAAAATTAGATGGATGCTTCCTCTTGTAGGAATTCGAAATACGATTTCCCATATCTATTCTTGTCGCTAGGATGGTACCTTCATTTTTATTAGATCATCTTCAAAGTTGTATTAAGGTTTCAACTTATATGTGTCAGTACCTAGGATAAGTTCTAAATCAAAAAATCTGAAATGGGGAACTATTTTCTTAAGAGAGAACTTAAAAATAATCCAGGTTAATTATATTGGGGCGTGGGATATGTGAGCTATATGTTCTTTCGTTGATAATGAAATAGTCTGGTTCTATTGTCTATTTTCAGTGTTAATAAAATATACCGCAACGATGTTTCCGTTGGTTTTTTCGTTTGAATTGTTTCACATTTTGTCTTATTTACTTTACGCTACACAAAATGTGAAAGAAAATCAAACGAAAAAACCAACGGTCTGATTTATGCCTAATCAATCGACAAAAAACAAATATTGCAGACAGCAATCAACGTCAAGCACTGAATTTCAGACCCTTCACTTGAAATAGGCACACAAAAAATGTTATTGACTTAAATATGTTTCTGAGTGTTTAATCTGCTAGCTTCGAACAGTGTTGTAACAATATAAGAACAAACTATAAAATCAGTTTGAAAGCGCTTGACTTTTCAGGTCGTTACGAAGCACACAGAAAAACTAGTTCATAGCTAATCAAAACAAAAACAAATAAATCATTTTCACAAGCTAAAATATCATTCTGTACACACTCAAAGGATCCTGAAATGAGATCCCTAAATTAACATTGTTAATCTGGTTTGTTATGTAATTGTACATGGGTTGAATTATTTTGGCATATCGTATGTATTTGATTTATTATGTATTCAGTATTTGGGTACCATAATTATTTTCTTCATTCAATTTATTTCTCATATAAAGCAAGAATATTTGATATGATTGCCAATGAGACACCTATCCATCAGAGACCAAATGACGTCATATTAAGCACCTACCGTACGGCCCTCAATAATGAGCAAAGCCCATACCGCATAGCAAGCTATAATAGGCCTCGACATGACAAATGGTTTAACAATTTAAACGAGCGAACGGACAGCCTGATTTTGTGTGAAAAACAACATGATATACAGAAAAAAGTAAAATACCGAACTCCGAGGAAAAATTCAAAACGGAATGTCCCTAATCAAATGGCAAAATCAAAAGCTCAAACACATCAAACGAATGGATAACAGCTGTCATATTCCTGACTTGGTACAGACATTTTATTATGTACAGAATGGTGGATAAAACCTGGTTTTAAAGCTAGCTAAACCTCTCACTTGTATGACAGTCGCATAAAATTCCATTATATTGACACGATGTGTGTGAACATAACAAACAGACATAATATGTAAAATTGTCAAAAATAGGGGTGCAGCAGTCAACTTTGTGTTATAATATTAATCACTATAAAAACAAACAAATATGTCAACAAAGTCGGAAACAAACGACAACCACTGAATCAAATGTGCCTAACTTGAGGCTTGTACATACAGAATGTAGCGGGGTTTGCGGGCGCACCAACCCACTTTAAACTTGGAACGATGGTGTCACATCACAACATTAGAACGAACTATAATACAAATCTGTTGAAAAGGACTTGACACATAAGATCGATACAAAGCACAAAACAAATACTGATTTACCTTCAACAGAAACGCTCAAACCTAAAATTTGAAGGTCCATTATGTATAAAAACCTTATCTGAATATTGACTAAATGGATCTAAATATTACCCTTTTAACATGAGTTTTACATATTATATCATATTATATAGACACACGTTAGTTTAGTTTCTATATTAATTGAATAGCCTTGATGAAATATCCTACAGACATCTTGTTTGGAAATATGTCAAGGATAAACATCTTCCGCTTAGATATTAAAATCAGTCAGTTAGATAAATTTTGAACTTTATCTCGTGATTTGCTTGTTATCATAATGTTATTACTCCCTCAACATGCTTAAGCTAACATTTTTTGCTTTATATTTTGTGTCCAATTCTGGGTTTCTTTTGGAAAAGGATTCTGCAACCAATGGTCAATCGGCATCTACGAACAATCAGTACTTAACTGTAACCGATATCTTGGAGATAAAACACGGATTAATCATGAACTTGAAGAAATCCGTCGCGATCATGACAGGACGTTAGGTATACTAACAACTCAGTTACAGGAACGTCTTGTCGCTATTGAGAAAAGTGTGATAGAAAGCAAGTTACAGAATCAAACAATAATCGATTTAGGAAGCAGGAACCGAGAATTGGAAGACAATTTTACCCGCCTTGAGGACAAACTACACAAACTTCAAGATCAGTACATACTCCAGCAAACAGAATTAGTGAAGTCAAAAGACAAAACCGATTTGCTAGAACATGAACTGTCCTCGTTGAAAAACTTACAAAGTATACAACCATTGCAATCGTTACATTCATTGGAGCAGAGTGTCCAAACAATAATTTCGAAAGTAAATGTTTTGAGTAGTCATGAACTAGTTCGTAATCAGGATTTCATTGCCCATCATAATCTGACAGGCAAAGAGTTAGCAAAGCTTGGGAAACAGACAGGCAATTTGACCAGTCGATTAGAGGACATCATCAAAGATGCAAATAATACGAATAATCAAGTGGGATACATAGAGACACGTTTGGAATTGAATATTGATAAACTGAATGACACGACACAAAACCAAATAGAACAATTAGATCGAACATTTAAAAATTACGAGAAACAACAAAATAAAACTTTGGATTTGGTCATGCAACAGATTCACTCTAATAGCTTGGATGTTGTGATAGCAGCGTGTCATAATTCTGGACCCAATACCTTGTCGTCAGGGGCGGTCATAAAATTTGACAATGTCAAAACAGTACATGGATACAGTGATCTCTCATCATTTACTTCCACTGGAAAATTCAAATGTGAAATTTCTGGGTTTTACAATATTTCAGCTTTTATAGCATCGAATACAGAAGAAGCTGGATTTGAAATAATGAAAAATTCACATCCTTTAGCGAATGGCTGGCATAACAAACGAACAAATGGTTGGCAACGCAGCGCTTCATCGTTTATAGCAGTTGACTTACAAATAGATGACAATATTTGGATTAGGACAATAAGAGATATGCTTGTGTCTAGAAATGATTTGTACTCATGTATTACCATATTTAAGATGTAGAATTTGGACGGGATTGCTATAATAAAAAATAGATAAGATAATTTATAATGATAATATTATCTTAATGATGTTGAAAATACCCCTTCGATATTTTACGAGTCACATGATGGTTGACCTTTATGTAATAAATGTTTCACAGATGACGATAGATATATTTCAATTGTCGTAAACCTAATCCCGTCCTCTTTTCCGTGAATGTGACATACCGAATTCGAATTATCACCGGTTTTGTTCTTACGAGAGCAACACGACATATGCCACATGTGGAGCAAGATCTGCTTACCCTTTGGTAGCGCCTGAGATCAACCACGGTTTTTTTTTGGGGGGGAGGTGTTTTTTAGACTTTAGTTTTCTTTGTTGTGGTTTGTGAATTGTTGTTTGTCTTTTTATCGTTTTTCGTTTTTCTTCTTTGTTTTTGCCAGGGCGCGGCTGATGTTGTCAATTGGTTTTTGACTTATGAGTTTGAATGTCCCTTTGGTATCTTATGCCTATTTTTGTCATTTTTGCTACGGCTGTGTCGACATAATTGCTACATATGAAATAATAGTACTTTAGTCCTTGAATATATTCTATTAAATTCAATTTATAAAAGCACCTTCTCATAATATAGATATCGCAAACAAAAATGAATGTGTATATTTTAATCAAAAACTACGTTCTTCATCGCAACTCGGTTCCTTTATACAGTGTTACAAGTGTCTTAACTTACTCTTGTTACATAAATGAAAACAAAATAACACATTACATAATACATCACAAAAATAATAAAAAACAAGACATGAATTTATATATTATGCAGTTGTTAAATCCACTTTCCTCAGTGACCAGGACTTTTTAATAAATTGAGCAGCATGGCGCATAAATGCAAAACATGTAAAAACAATTTCTCCAAATTATCCATATATTTGAATAGATATTTTTACATTTTCTAGGAATTCATGTCTCAAGTTTTCATTTTGTTTACATTTAAATAAGAAAAAAGTAAAATCACAAAAGCATCGACTCCAAGGAAAAATTCAAAACAGATAGTCCAAAAAATCAAATGGTAAAATCAAAAGCTCAAACACATTAAACGAATGGATAACAACTGTCATATTCCTGACTTGGTACAGGCATTTTCTTATGTAGAAAATGGTGGATTGAAACCTGGTTTTATAGCTAGCCAAACCTCTCACGTGTATGACAGTCGCATAAAATTCCATTATATTGACAACAATGTGTTAACAAAACAAACAGACATTATAGGTAAAAATGTCAATTATAGGGGTATAGCTAGAAATGATCCTTATCATATATTTTATTCGAAGAACAATATTGACACAACCATTCTTCTCTTTTTATGTTTCTGTACTTCCCCCTTTCAATTTCCAAAATATGGCCACTTACCCTTAAATTAGGAAAGCATATCCTGGTTTCAAAGTTATTTTCTTTAAGGTAATATGGCTCAATTTCATAAATCTTTTTAACTCTACTATAAATATATAATTTATTATTGTCCATTAAAGAGTTTAATTTCTTAAAGAACATTTTTAAATAGTTTTCTTGTATTATCTCCTTCATGTGTTTTATATTGTTCTTGTATAAAGTAA